TATTTTTTTAAGGTCAGCACTGGATTTGTTGCATAACATTGGATGCTTTCTTTGTGTCCTCTCTGTAGAGGGTAACAAAAGATGCTAAAGGATAATATTTGCAAAGCATTTGTAGCACCAGATTCTATATAAATGCAGAATTGTCACAAAAGATTGGCATGTTCTGGTAGTTTTGGAATGATTGTTTTGGAAAATTTTCAGATTTGATGATTTCTTCCTCTGCATGAAATTTTAGAATTTCTATATACTTTCTAAACTCCTGAGCTGGTTTTCCGAGCTTGCTTTTGTGTATAATCTTTGTGATTAGAGTATTAGATCCTTTTTATGCTTTATAAATCTGTTATCTTTATTTGAAAACCCTAACATTTCTACTGGACATAGAAGCACAAATATAGTTTGATTAAAGACAGAGTTGATTTACGTATTTTTAAAATCTGTACCATTTCATTGTCATACGTAATTTCAGGCATAATTGTTTCCTCTTTGTTCACAAACGACTTCTTGTTTACCTGTTTGGGATAGAAGAATTAGGTGGAGTTGTGTGACTCTACCTTCTCTAGTTATTCCATCTGTTTCTGTCTGTACCTAGATGGGAGAAAGGATCCATAAGTGAGATTAGATCAAAATGGAAGACTATCTTCATATGCCAGCATTCCAGAAATATTTTGAATTAAGGGGAAAGGTGTGTGTGTACTTTCTGCAGTAACCTGGAAAGTGAGAAAGTTTGATCTAAAATTTTAGATCAAAGAGACAGAGTCTCACTCTGTCGCCCAGGCTGGGGTGCAGCAGTGCGATCTGGTCTCAATGGACCAGAAATGATAAGAAAAATTCCTGAAAGGCTAATGGGAAACAATTGAAGGTGAAAACCACTGCCCAAAACATGAGCAAAAGAACTATGAAAGGTTGTAGTGATAGATTGAGTATTCCAAGCTTAGTAGCTGTGGATAGATGAGAATCATAGAAAGCTCTGGGTAACCATTAGTGTGATGTCTATAGAGCCTGTGAGATACTCAGTATCTTTCCAGTAAATTCTTTTCATAGTTACATTGGACAGAATTTACTTTAAGAATCCTTACTTGATGTACTTACACCAGGGATGCACTTAAAAAAGGATAAGCTTTTTGTATTCATCATGATATTTTTAGTATACAGTTGGATCCAATTTTCTGTACTGTTACTCACGAGTTTTACTTGTGATACTGGCCTGCCTCTTGAGCCAAACATACATATTCAGAAAATGAAGGTGGTAGATTGCCTGAATGTTCCTATTTTGTACCTCAAGAATGCTGTAGCCGGGTGCGGTGGTGCATGCCTGTAGTCCCAGCTACTCAGGAGGCTGAGGCAGAAGGATTACTTGGAGGTTGCAGTGAGCCAAGATCACACCACTGCATTCCAGCCTGGGCGACAGAGTGAGACTCTGTCTCGGGAAAAAGATAGGAATGCTGGAAAATCTGGCTCAGGAATCAGTCATTTCTACTGCTTGTCACAGCTGATTCCATCTTTGGATGTCTTTGCTATTGGATACTCCCTTACTATTGGGAGCCACTCCGTGAATTAATCCTAAACTCTTGCTCAGAAGTCGAAGTCCTTGGCTGAAACCACAGATCATATGCCTGTGACCTGGCTGTCAGTTATTCTGGGAGCCTGATTCCTGCCTCCACCAAGACTCACATAGGGGAATTGTTTGCACATTGGCAGAGGGTTTGATATGTACCCAGAACAAAAAGGACTAAAGTGGGAATTTCTCTAAGAAGGTTTGGCATTAGAAACTCTTTTAATGTAACCCACAGCTGAAAGGACAAACATCATATACTCATCTTTTATTCCCAAAAAGAAGTTGATAAAACTATTAGTCATTGATTAAAGGCCAAACAGAATAAGACCAAAAAAGCAGAATTGAAGGAACCATCTGTTTGATTAAGGATATGCGTTAGGGCCATACACCAGCTATTATACTTAGTGGTGAAATTTTAGAAGCAATTCCATTACAGCCAGGAAGACGACAGGGTGCATGTTCTCAAAACTACTAGTTATTCTTTTATTGAGGTCCCAGCCAATGCAGTAAGAAAAGAAGAAATAAATGTGGAGGAGCATTTTGAAAAAGCATTTTGAAAAGTGATTATCTGAGAAGACTCCATAGACAAACTAACAAGAATTTAGCAAGATGGCTGGGAATAAGACCGATAGGGAAAATTAGTTGGCTTTCCAATGCATTAGCAATAGCCAGTCAGAAAGTAGAACAGCAATAAAACTAAAATACCTAAGAATCCGCCTGTGTTATTTTCTATTGCTGCATAACAGATTATCACAAGCATAGTGGTTTAAATGTACCGCCGTCTATTATTTCACAGTTCTGTAGGCCAGAAGTCCAGGATGTCATGGCTGACTTCCCTGCAGCGTCCTACCAGGCTGAAATCAAGGTGTTAGTCAGCTGTTGTCCTTATTTGAGGACAATGGGGAAGAATCAACTTCCAAACCCTTGTCAGTTGTTGGCAGAATCCCGCTTTTGTGGTTGTAGGACTGAGGTTCCCATCTCTTTGCTGGCTGTTAGCTGGGGGTTCCCCTCAGGTCCTGAGGCTATTCCCATTCTTCTCAGCCCCTCCGTCTTTCAAGTGACAGGGACATGTAGAACCCTTCTCATGGTTTGAATATAGTTGACTTTCCCCCTCCTTTTCCCTTCTGCTGGAGAAAGTGCTATGCTTTTTAGAGCCCATGTGATTAGGTCTACTTCAGTGATCTCCCTATCTTACTGTCAACTGTGCCATATAGCATAACACTATCATAGGGGTGCTAGTCTCATTGTGCAGTTTCCAGAAGTCAGGGCAGGACATCTTTGGGGGTGGGAGGGCATTTGGTAAATTTGCCTGCCACAAAGTCTAAATAGAATTTTGTAAAACCGACATAAAAAGTGTAAAATATCCTCGAAGGATATAAAAGACAACCATAGAGGTTTCGCTCTGTAAATATCATAGTATCTACACCTCCCCCTACCACATCATCTGGTCTGTCAGTTACATTTAAATGCAGTTAAACCCCCAGCACAATCATTTATTCAATTGGGTAGCTGGTTCTAAATGTTCCTGAGTGGAGAAAAATGTTTAAGAACTGGCAAAGATAGTTTTGAAAAAGAAAAATGGATATCAAACAAATTAAACTACATACATTAAAATCTTGGGGGTATTGGTTCTGGAATAACCCATGAAATAGAATACTGGAGATTCATTTAATAGATGATAAAGTTGTTTCAAATCAACAGGGAAATGATAGCTTTTTTGGGAAATGGTGGTGCAGTTGTCTATCCATTTGGAAGCAAAGTTAGACCCTTATCCCAAGAACAGCAATAATTTCCAGATGAAATGAAGAGCTAAGTATAAGTAAAATTCTACAAGTATTTAGAAGTACTTAGGAGAATTTGCTCATAAACTTTGGGTTATGGAATGCCTAACTCAAAGGCTAGGAAATGCAGTTGGCTAGTAAGCACATGAAAGAGTGCTTGCTTTTATTAACGTCAGGAAAATGTAAATTAAAACAATTCCTTTATTCCCCTCTTTTTTTGCTCAATCAGATTGGAAAAACATTTTTGCAATCCAAATGTTGGCAAGGGTGCGGGGAAAACATATACTCTCATCGAATGAATTGTAATGGTCTTTTTGGCAGTGCCTACTGTAATTATGAGTATACATATCCTTCAGATGAATAGTTTCACTTCAAGATTTTTTACCCCAGAGAAATACACAGGTACATGAGCACAGAGACATTTACAGACCACTATGGCATTGTGATTATTGCAGAAAATGTCCAATAACCTAAAGATTCATCATGGAAGGGCTTTTTGTTTATAAATCATTTAATGGATTTTGAAAAAGGAACCAGTTAAAGTTAGCCAAAGTAATTTAGAGGAAAACAGAATACCTATGGAATTTGTAACAAGAACTTTCTTCTCCTGGTGTGTACTTTTATAACCTCATATTGCCCATTTTATAATAAATTTAATAAAAACGTTTTCCTCATGCTAACAATCCATTTTCTAAAAGCAGTGCAGTATTAAGTGCTCACCATACATGGATAAATGCATCCTGGTAATTTTCTGAGGGCAGATGAAACTGAACAAAAGCCCTCCTTTATTACCATAATGGGAGACTTGTTGTGGGATTTCTTTTATTATCTTGTTATACCAGCCAGAGATGGGGCAAGAGAAAGGAAGAGGCTGTATCTATACCGATACTATAAAAATGGATTATTTTCTAAACTTATGTGGTATGTGGAGTAGTACTTGCTGATGAAGTGTTTCTTACATGTGTGAATATTTGATTTTTAGTATGTTAGATGATAAGAATCTTAATTTAAAGAATCTGTATATGTAGTAGGTGGGGAGAGAAGAGATTAGCTTTTTAGGTAGTTATCAGTATTTAAAAAGCAGCCAAAAGAAAAGTTTTGTGTCTGTGCTTACGTGAAAGAGATAAAGTGAAATATCTTCACAAGGGCTTTTGAGGACATTAGCTTTAGTAGCTTTAATCTATGGGTTTATTATTTGAGGAGTGAAGATAAAAGCTTTGACTATTGTTAATTTTATATATCTTCTGTATTCATTGTGAGAGTAATGCTATAGGTGAAAATTGCTTTTAAAAATGAAAGAATGGTGGAATTTTTAACCAAAGTGTTTTTTTGATGCATTTATTAGATGTTCTTCATATAAAAGATTATCTTTATTAAAAGAATTTTATCCTGAAGATAATTTATATTCTGAGAAGCAAGAAGCTTATATTAATTTAAAACCCACTATGATTTCAAAAGTATTTTCCAAAGCAGTTTCTATAATACACTTTCCTTTAAATCACATTTTTTTTCTTCGTAATTGAGGCACAACTTACAGAGGGAACCATGGTCTAATACAATTGCTGCTATTGTGAGTGAAACTAACAAAAGATGAGAACCATGATTGTGTCCTATTTAGGAGCAAAAAGGCAGCTGAAAAATATAAAACTGAATTATTTTTGCAGAAGTCCACGAAAGGTTCCATTGTCCTCGACCACGTATTCCATCACGTAAACCTTGTGGAGATAGATTATTTTGGGCTACGTTACTGTGACAGAAGCCATCAGACGGTGAGTACGGTGACTCTGTTAAATTTTTCTGGTTATAAATTTCACTCTGTCTCTGGCTTTTCTTGATACGGTTTTAGGTGGTTAGGTTCTTTGTCACTGAAAAAGACTGAAAATCTCAAACATGTTTTCCCCTGATAATTTCTTTGCATTTTTTCCTCTTCTGCCAAAAGTCTATAGAGTTGCTGGATTCACAGCTTCTGTACATGTGTCGTCCTCTTTGCAGATGGCATATGTGGTTTCCAGATTTGCAACCTTATGAGAATGAATGCAGAGCATCAGTGCACATGGA